GTTGAGATATCTAAACTTTTGTATAGATTTAAGAAAAAAAATCATTTCTACTAATAATCTATACATTATTCCCGTGTGTGTATTACACTTTTAAAATAATTATAAATTAATTCATTTTCTCTTTGTATAAAAAAAGACACTATATTTGGATTTTGTCATCTGGATATTTCAGCTCATCTGGATAACGTTAGGCGATGATATTGAGTGAAAACAATAGAATACCATGTGCTTTTCAGTTCACAATTTTGTTAACTTTTTTGCACTAAAAACCTCATTATGCTTAATTTATATCGAAATTTTAATTGAAATGAATGGGTTACCAGGCCAGCACCGACGACAATAATCCTTAATGGTTGATCGTATTGATCATTAGTGGATAGTTTTTGTTGCGACATTTAAATTACAAGTTTTGATTGAAAATATTTCGTTATAACGTACTTTTCATAAATAAAACAAACAATCAAAGAAGAGTAAAGTATGCTCGAACTATTTTCCTAAAGCTCTCAAGTTGTACTGAATTCCTACATCTGCCTCGAACTGAATTTCTCTAGCGGTCTCATACATATGAAATCATTTCACTTCAATCATGTCAACGCTAAGAAGCCGCAAAAGTTTCTGTATACATCAGATTTTGTTTCATACATTAGATGTATAGAATGGATCGAGTTTTGTTGCTATGAAACCTAATCGCACTTGTTAAAAAACTAATATTAACATTAGGGTGTCACTGAAATCAAATAAAAATAATAAATAATCTGATATCAATTTCTCGACGAAAATAGTTGGTAGATAACTTTTCCGTGTGTTGTGAATAAGAACTTAATAAACATTTGTACTTTCGGAATGTTGCTTCAATGGACTGACAGTAAAAAGAAAGGAATATCTCCAACGAATGTATATATTAATCACAACTCACGGAAGAAAGTCAGTCATGAAACTGATATCATAATTTTTGTGTTTCGTCATGTTTCTCCCGAAATAGATTTTTTATTTGATATGAATTCTTAGACAACTTTTCACACTGTTTACAGCACCACATTATAACATGTGACGTTGCCATCAGTGGCGAATGCAAATCAAAACAAATGTAGATTTCATACAAAATTTGACACTGGTATTTTGAGAAATGCTCACGTTGACCTCTAGGGGCTTAATACGGCAAAAAAATTCACAGGAATTCACGTAAACTCACACTTTTGAATCGAGTGGTTATTGATGAGTTCGGTGAATTCGTGTGAATAATTCGCAATATTTTTTAATTTATTATTTTTTCAATATTTCCGATTGTTTTCGATAGAAAATCGCTCAAAATTGAAAATAAAATTAATTTTTATTAAAAAATATAAAAAAACATTTACAATTTTGTTAAACAAAATATAAATATTGCAGTAATTGCCAGCAGAAACTATTTTTTTTTTTCAAACTATCTCACATATTTGAATGAAATCGCCGTAGAATTCACCGGAATTCATTCTTTTGCAGAAAAATTCAGTTAATTTAGATATTATTATAGAATTCAGTCGTTGAAAATTTTGAATGAAGCCCCTAGGTTGACCTCAAATCGGGACAAATAATGGTGAATAAATGGTTAATGGTTTTGACTTCTGTGATGAGCACATTTGGTGTCTAGTTTTGCGTAGTAAAAAATGGAGCTGATGTGAAGTGAAAAAAAAAAAACGATACAGTTCAACCACTAAACAAATCTCAATGTAAGCATATACGAATATGAGACTGCATGGGAACAATTAAGATTCAAGCGTATTTTATTCATATCAAATGGTGACAAATATAAAAACTCAAAATTGATTTCATTGATTTTACTAACATATTTCTCTCTGATGACAACATCTAGGACAACATCATCTTCACAGTTATGAAAAGTTAAAATCTAAACTAAAGGAGAATTTGTTTTGGCGATCGGATAAATGTCAAGACTTTGTTTGAACTGCAATAAATTTTGAATTAAATTCACATAATTGAGATTATTGAATTTTTCCGAATCATAATTTTCTACAAGATCCGTGTCGACTTCATTTGCATTGTTTTGAACATTGCCAATGACTTGAACTGATAATTTCCTCTCTTCGTTGTCATGATATGTTCGATAAAATTCCAATAACTGTGATTTGGTGATCGTCGATAAATGCTCCACCTCTTTGTGTCGCCTGTCGAATACATATTCAGCGCTTGTTATTTCATACCAATTTCTTCGAACTTCTTCGTTCAATTCATTATCTTGGCTCATTTTAGTTTTGGAAAGTGAAGCTTTGATGGCATCAAAATCATCGTTTGGAATTGTTTCAATGATAGTGATCAATTCAGTGCGAAAATGTTCAATTCGTTCGTCCACATAATCAACGGAAAATTTCGACTCTTGTGAAAAAACAGTAATACTGTACCCTAAAATTCCATTATCGTTTTTCAGATTAAATGTAACATCATAGGACAGTTGTTCCTTAGTTCGAAGCGTATCGAAAAGAGGTTCACTCGCGATCTGCGCCAATAAATCAATCATAACTTGCGTACGATGCGAAATTGGACCGATTTGATAGAAATTCGTAATCTCCGTATTAACATCTTTGCGATCAAATGCTTTACATCGCAAATAATTTACGCCAACGGGCAACTTGGCTGTTCGCAACTCGAATAACGATAGCTGAAAGTGTAAATTGAAAGTTGAAAAATGTATAATAAATGTTTCAATTTACTAATAAAATTTAACGACTTACATCTTCGACTTTGCCATATTTAAGTTCATTCAAAACGTTATGCATGATGTTAAGCGCATGATCTTCAGTTAGATTCCCTTGCATTAAGGCCTTTATCCTCATCTGATCACCGTATTTTCGACAAAATTGCTGAAATTCGGCGAATTTTAGGGATCGAATGCGTTGATTTTTCTTGTATACAGGGTGAATATGTGATTTAATGACATTCGAACGAAGCAATTCTGTATCCAGGAGATCAATTTCGGAGTCATCGATAAACTGCTCAACAAAAACCTTGAACTGTTTTTCGGTAATATCATCTGCTAATGATTTCAAACACTTGCAGAATACATCGACAATTAGGTGTAGTTTTTGATTAAATCCAGAAACCTTAAATCGATTTAAATATAAAAAACAGATTCATATTTATTCAACTCTGATCAAGAAAAAAGCTCTAATTAATCAAATTACCTTAAGACAAAGTCCCATACCAATGTAATTGCAATTGTACTCCAAGCCCGCAAGAGTGGCCGGATATAATTTCTCCACAAATTGATGTTTCAACAACATTGACAAGAGTGTCATTTGAATCGTACTTAAACGGCAAAGAAAAATAAAATCAATCAGAATATGTTGAATTAAGTATAATAGAAGAAATGAATTTTCTGTTACTTTTCAATTGTTGATGTTGCGTTCGGTATCATGAAATAAAAATTATAACAAGCCGTTGGCAGCAAAAATGTATCATCTTGTCGAAACCACAATTCACACAAATTATTATCGAGAATTTTCGTTGGATACTTTGATATTTGGTGCTTTTCTTCGTATGAAATGGTAAAATCATCCGCAATAAATGTATTCGGTCCGGGCAGTGCAAATTCCGGGAACGGTGTTGCATTTTTCCATAATAAAAACCATTTTTCCGGCATATCAATCTCCGAATACATTGTGCCACACCATTTTTCGGTCAGTTCATATGCGATATTTTCACTGTATTTTCGTGAAGTTGTAACCATGATATTGAATTTGCGCGAATTGAGTTCATCGATTATTTTTTGAATGACATTGGCATTATATTCGAAATATAATGTGTCACCAGTCAGAATGTTTTTGAGTGGATATTGCTTGAGTTTTATTGCTTGAGATGCAACATTATCAAAAGCAGGATCTTCATTTTGGAACCGAAATGAATTGAATGCCATGGTTTGAAGTTCACGGAATATACGCTCATTTGGTCCGGACATTTGAAGTAGCTTTAAATACGAGAATATTGCTTGTAAAACGTCATCCAAATGATCAAATCCATCCTCAGTCAAATGAACGTATATTTTGAAAAGGGAATATAGTTTCGTTGTTTCGGGTGTCGCATATAAATTTACAGCCCATAATTTCTTTCGCAAATAGCTCAACAGACTGCCTTCCCCTTCGTGCCCTAAAATTTGACTGATGTATATATCCGGATTGCATTTGAAATGTTGTATCATCGGCTCCAAACACCAAGTAATATCTATTTGTGAAATGTTATCGATTGATTCTACAAAGTAGACTTTTTCATAGAATTTCGATTGAAACGCATTGAGGTGATTGAATTGCGAAAAATCATCGCCAGCCAAGTGATTATTTGGAATAGTTGAAAAGTGTCGGTTTGCCATTTCCTGCCACAGAAAAACAATATTTTTGACATCAAGAAATGATCTTAGAATTGAGTTTTTTCAACGTATTTATTCTTCGGACTAACAACAATTGTTAACTCACCTGTAAATCGTCCAGATGTTGGCTCGACTGCAGACAAAGATACATACGATTGGCGGAATAGTGTCTTTTTCTAAAGTCATGTAATTTTTGATATAAAACATCATCGGCAATGTTGTTTTTAAGAGTTTCCAAGTTGCCACAAGTAAAAGCACTCGACGGATGTAATGGTGAACCAATCACAGATGATAATAACCTTTCAAGCCTAACGCCTCTATCGTTTTTATGAAGAGCGAACTCTGATTCCACTGCTTCACGTTCACGAGTCATGGCTGCCTTTAACATGAGTGGTGCTTTGAAAAATTGTGAAAAACAATCCAAAGCGTCATCCAAAAATTCTAGTCGAGTATCAAAATGAAAGAACGTTTCATCCAATCTAGTTTCTGCATTGGAACGACCACCAGATTTTTGCATGATTTCATCAAATTCATCCTCATTTGGATATTTTTCGGAGCCCAAAAAAACCATGTGTTCTGTAAAACATCGATATAAAGATTTTAGGATTCGTTTAAAATTCTTTATTATGGATAATTAATTTAATGTGAATGAATATCCGAGAATGGAAGAGAGACTTCTATTCACAACTTATTGAAATGTAACACCGCCATACAAAAAGTGCTGACTGTCAGCATATTTTGTATGGTGGTATTACATTTCAATAAGTTATGAATAGAAGTCTCGCTTTCATTCTCGGGCAATCAAATGTTAATAACAATTAGACGAAGCATTGATTTTACCTAGAAAATGTGCTAATCCTTGAATCTCCCGTGGATCGGAGGAGCTACCAACATCGACGCAAAGACAGCATGCAGCCAATTTTGTCACCTTTTCTTCGTCATTAGTTTGCTCACTCACTGTATTATCACTTGAGTCTGACTCGACTGCACTGGTAATTGCTGCAGTTTTTTGTTTTGGATCCGAAATTAAAAGAGCTTTTAGCCCATTTTCCAGCCGAATTACACGATATAATTTTTTATCATTTTCTGATTTATCGGGCGTTTCCAAAATCTCAACAGAATGCATTTCGATTTTTATTTATTAGCAACGTTTCAACTACTGAACTTAGCTAAACGAACTCACTCTTTGTAAATTGAACTTGAATCTACTTCTATTTATAACAGCACTGATTCTCTATGGTTTGACTCATTTAATGATATTCAACGGAAATATAACTGTGGCAGATATTCTGCCGCAGATTCTAATGGTTTACCACAGAATACAATTTTTTTGGGTCTACCACAATTCATATTTCTGACCACAATCATGAGAACCGAAATCGTAAAAAAGTTAACCAATACATTCATAT